TATAGTATATACTATATAGTATTATATAGTATAGTATCTAAATTCTATATAAAGTATAGTATCTAAATCTATGTATCTATGTATGATACATACAGTATCTAAATCTATGTTTAGATCACATTATCTAGTTTAAATATTATTCTGTATATACAAATGTAATTAAAAGAAAGTTTTGGACACAGCAGCAACCTGTGCTGCCAATAAGTCAATGGAATCCTCACATTTAGGAAAATGCTTTTTGCATTGCATTTACATTGTCTAAAGCTGTTAATACACTGCTTGAGTTTCAGAATTTCAGCTGTGTGGCCCTGCCTGAAAGTTTGATAACTCTTAAATTGCCCGTTGACTGTCAAGCTAAGGCTAAATCAACAATTCAATCTCTTTTACTCTGAGAGATGTATCCAATTATTGGCAGTTGCCTCGTTTTCTGCATATTAAAATCAATGGGATGTTGTTGAGATGATCACCAGTGTGTTTCGTTCCAGCTGGTAGAAATTAAAATAATCATTAGAGGTTCAGAATTCCTACCATGGGAGTCACTAGTGCTGGTAACGCAGGAAATGTGCCTTGCATACTTTGCGGGGACGCCTCGGATCCCGAGGCCACAACTGTCTTGTTTTTTGGTTAGCATTGGTAGTGCAGCACAACTTCTGCCCACCTGTTCCCCTAAGCTCCTCCTTGGCTATGGACACATGGCACAGCCCAGGGGAGGATTTCCTCTCACTCTGAACTGCTGCTGCATCTGAGGTCTGGTGAGTAAGTTTAAGGGAAGGAAGGGGAGGAGCTGTACAGAGGGAGGGGGGCCTATGGACTGTACTGTGGGGTGGGCTTGGGGATCTGTATTTTTGATTTAGGGCTGTGGGGAAACATCTGTATTGAGGGCAGGTTTTGGGGCTGTTGGGGGAGATCTGTACTGCGGGGAATTCAGGCTTTGACGGGGATTTGTACTGGGAGAAGGGGGTCATTTTTGGCTGTACGCTATATGCTTGCCTACAGGTTACTTACACTTGTGACACAGTAGTTAAAGCATATTTTGTGGGTAGAAGGACTGTGGCATTTGTGTGTCATGTGTACAGTGAGTAGGCTCAGTTTTTTTTAACCATGCCCCTTTAGCCCCATCCAGCTGTTAGTGCAGTTTGGTCACACCCACTATTTGACTATTATGACATACAATGTGCACCTTTCACGTTCCTAGCAATGCCCATCATCCTTACCTTTAAGACAAGTCACAGAGCAACTGCCCATAATGCAGATTCAATATACTGTACATTCATTCAGGGTATATTAATTCTAAAAGGTTGATTTATTTCCCTATAAAATTTTTATTTGATAGTTTAGCCAACTATGAAAAGACTAAGCTCCTATTGTATATTACCCACCATACAGATAAACAGTGAGAAAAAACACAATGCATAATAGACGTTTCCCTGTACACTCATATATTGAATTTGTACATAAATGGAAATGGAAGTCAGACAGCTGCGTTCTCTAGCAAACATCAAAGGGAAACGACTACACAATTGTAAACGTGTAATTAATAATTAAGAGGGTTTCATTCTTATGGGAATTGTGCGAAGAGGGAATTTTTCACAACAGCTGCTGCTTAATCCTGCTACAAAGTACTTAAGAAAAAAAAATATGTTTTGAGATATTTACAGTGCTAGGATTAAAACTAGTTGTGTCCATTCATCCTAATTACAAAAAACAGGATTATACCAATAGTTAATTGCAAACTAGCATTGCACTGGTTTGGGGCTTAAGCCATCAGTTTGCCCTTTCTCCTCCATGTTTAGTTTTGTTTCTCAATGTGTTACAAGCATCCTGTAGAAATGGTTTCCCTGCTTGATAAATTGACAGTTGTCAACGATCAACCGAAAAAATAAAATAAAAGGGAAATAAAAAAAAGTCTTCTAAAGACGTTGGCATTATGGCAATTCATATTATTATTGAGATTGCCAAACTAGTGACTGGACTTTATCGATCCCAGATTTAGAGTTAAAGAACAGTGTAGTGGTGCAATGGTTAGTTATATTTTTCATTTACTACTGTGGTCCTGGATTCATAATCAAACAGCATGGAGTTTGTGTGCTCTTATTGGGTTTTACACTTATCCACAGAATGCCATGGATGCTTGTGTGACTATTACAGAAATAAATCAAGCTTACATGATGTAGGAACTGATATGAATGAGAAATCGGCTGTATATTATGTACTAGAGTATATACAACATATATAGTAATTCCTTGTCATAAAAGCCTCTGCATCCCTTACATATTACCCTTACCTAAAATTGCACCTGTGCCCAGGCAATGGACATTTAACTATTTACACATTCTTAACAAGCAGTAAAAGAGTTTTAAAATAAACCATCACTGACCTATCTAACGGCTTTTAAAGTGAAGGTATTCATTTCCAAGGATCATCAAAGATGACAAAAAGACTCTAAAGTCAGTTTTAGCCAGTTTCTAACACCTTAGAACCACCTACTGTCTGTTTGCATTGGTAGGTTGCCGTTCTGCCATGATCTGCTGTTCATAGAAAAATATCTGCCTAGGGCTTATTCACACCATAAGCAATGAATGTCGACTCAGCAACTGAACAGTGCCAGTCACCACAACGGCATATGAAAAACAATTGTTTTCTATGTACCCCGATAACACTACAACTCATGTTGCATTTTTTTACAGCACACCGGATGGCACCACAGTTCATCACAGAGCGGTACATTGAGTGTACACTCCAATTACAATAATAAAAACAAGGAAACAGGGCATTACACCACCTCCGTCAGATCTCACTCAGCACACTATCTTGTGCGATAAAACTCAGATTTTTAGCTTGTGGGCTGGTGTGAACGTGCCTTTAGGGCTTGCTCCCATCAACCCTGTTGGGCTGTGTTAAGCAATTTACCTTATGTATTCACCAGCTTGTGTGCATTTGCGCACCTTAATGTGCACCTGCTGGTGTGAATGGGCCCTTAAAGATACAGGGATCGATGGGGGCTTTAAACCAACATAGTTGAACTTCGGGATATCCTTAGATATTCCCTAATATTTCCCTTCCCTAGCTTCCCCCTTCCCCAAAAACAAATAGTCATTTTCTCTCTAACCTATATTCTGAGGAATGGTCATTTCAAAACTCTGTGACATCTAACATTTGCTTAAAATCAAGCAGGCAGGCACTCACATCATATCCTTTTTCCTTTCTGTGTCCCTAAGCAAACTACAAGTGCCATGATGTATCAGAATATAATCAACACTAGCGGGAAGGATTGTGAGCATTGCTAAGTGTCTTACACTTACATAGTGTCTGATCACATTGCTATCACTCGCTATCAATAAGCTATTGCAGTCATAGATGGGTGGGACAAAGGCATCAAGCTATAACATAATGACGTCCTGCTCATAGAAGAAAACTGCAAGGGGCATTTACAAGACCGGTGGCCATGGGGAAAGAGGGGGCATAGTGGCCGTCAGTTTTATGAAAAAGAAAACTATACCATGACTGCTGCAATATTTGAAAGATGGAGTATAGAATAATGCAAGGTACAAGATCTCACTTACAGAAGTGCTTTTATATTTCTCCCTGAGTTCAGTTTTAGGCCTGATTCACACTGCGTTACTCGGGCGGGACACATCTGTGCGGCCGTGCACGCCCGTATCAGGCGGTTCCGGGGAGGGACAGGTGCTGCGTGTAGCAGCCTGTTCTTCCCTATGGGAGGACACAGCCGTACACTGTGATACGTTCACCCGAACTGCAAATCCATGCGGGTCCGGGTGTCCGTGCTCGGACGCAGACAGGATCCATCAACATAACAAGTAGTCTGTGTTTTGTGTATGTATCTCAAGGTTTAAAGGCTTATTCTGGGATAATTGTGTCTCCCCTCCCACTCCTCGTTAACCCATACCACAAGGAGTTTTGTTTTTTAATCTGTAGAAGCAAGTAATACTCACCTAAGTCCCCTATCTGGGTCCCCCACCACTGTCTTTCCAAGTGTGTAGAACTGCTAATCCAATGGTTTTATTAACACTTTATTTTACAAATAAATATTTAACTCAGACTTAATATATGAAACTTTGCAAAGCATCCTAGACTTTGTAATGGCAAGCCCAGTGCTGTCTTCTTGCTTGTTGACAGTCTGTGTAAAACTGAGTAAAGTGTATTTCCACTTTTGCAGTCAAATTTGAGTAAACCCACTACATGTTTGTTATGTGTTCCTATTCACACAGCATAACATAATATTTCTAACCATTTAGATGTTTCTTTATTGAAGGCCTTTGTGTAGAATCCTGGCTACTCTTAGCAGTTTATAAGTGAAACTAGATGGTCAGACTGAGGGTCTGAACTGAACTTCCTCTCATTACATAAAATATTCTAAGTCTTTAACCCTTTGTTAGGACAGACAGTGTTCACATCTAGTATACATGAACATAAAGGGTTGAGGGGGGGTGGAGAAGCTAGGTAGGATTGTGAAGCATGTACTGTATAAAGCACTTAAAACGTAAGCAGCATTATTTATTTATTTTTTTAAGTTATGCTACGAAATGGGAACATATAAGAGACATAGAGTAGGTGTTATCCCAGTTGCAAAAGTAGATGCAAAAGTGGAAGTACACTTTGATCCCAAAGATTCTGTCCCTGTTAAAAGAGATGAAGGAAATGGGTCCCTCTTCTGAGTCATTTAGCAGTACTTGTAATCTGATCTTTACCGCTATTGTGGCATTTGGAAAACTATTTCACAAAAAAAAACCACACATGTATTGTATGCTCATATTAGACTATAATCAATGTGCAAAATAGGCACTGATGTGTACAGGATGAATGTCTGTGTCTTTATTATGTGACTCACCAAGGATCCCAGTGGGTTTCAGCCCTCCAAACTCCTGCATTGCTTTGATCGCTTTGGACAACTCTTCCTGTGTCTGTAACTGTCCTGTAACTGGATCAGGAGGTGGAAGATAGCCAAATCTTGTCAACCAGTCCTGTATTGAAAAAAAAAACAATGCATGGAAAACATATTAGTAAACATAAAGAAAGTACAGTTTAAAGTAATTTACTTTTCTGGTGTGTCTGCGGAGTGTAGTCGATAGAATTTATCCTTTTCCGGTATTAACTAAATCCATAGCTGATCACTGCGGGTTACTGTAATTTAAGATTATTTTTCTTAAATAATTAATTTGGCTTGTAACTTGGAATAAAAATGAAGAAGGGCTTTAAATGGTCACAGTGCAGGCATTATGCATATAGCAAATCTGAGTCTTATATAAGGCTATATGACGCAGGATCAAATGAAGGAGAAAACTGGAATATTGAAACAGGAGGCAAATTAAGGGTGATTACTAACCCAGGGGTAAAAGGGATGGAAAACATGTAAATAATAGCTTGAGAAAGAAAAGGTCATGTTCATGGTGGAAAAAAATAACTCATGGTAACATAATTTTCATAGTATGAATAGGAGGAAGAGAGAACACTTACGGGGTTATTCACTAAAAGGGGAAGAGTTTGGAGAAGGCAGGAGAAGTGAGCAATATAGGACAACATAGCTGATTTGGAAAAATTCTCCATTTCAGCTCACTTTCCTTTTCAGCTATGCTGTCCTAGATTGTTCACTTCTCCTCCTTCCTTCTCTAAACTCTTCACCCTTTAGTGAATAACCCTGTTCATGATATTTTGGCAATATTGTGATTGAACATCAGATAGGGTATATGGAGGCTCCGAACATCACCCCAAAATTAAAAAGGGATACACCATCAAGAGGTGTTACACAGCTCTATGGACAATAACTGAATCTCATAAAGTGTCACAGAAGTTGGTGCCGGGAATCCGATATAAACGCTGAAATGCCAACTTACTGCAGTTCCATAGATACTGATAACCAAGTAGAAGAATTTTTTTATGTCATTGCAAATCTGTTTTATATTTAGTACAGTTGACATGGGAGGAATACTGCAGTCTCCAGAGGTTCTTTGATTCTGCTTTTTTTGTAATACATTCATCATAAATTTGTATTTCAGAAAGCTTCTGAATAATCTTTCATCTCACATAAAATATCCTGTTCTCTTTAGATACTTGGGTCTGTCCTTCCTTTGTCTGCGGTAAAGGTTCTTCTAATCCCAAATGATTATTTTGATAATGTTCTGCTTTCCCTTAATACTGAAAAGGGATACAGCACTTGACATTGGCTAATGAGGTCTCTCTAAGCCATGCCCGTGCTTCCCTCTGTCCTCTAAGTGTCTTTAGACTGCACAAGTGTGGCTGTCAACTTTTTAAAAGTCTCACAAGAACTAATCTTTTACCACAGATTTACAGCAGTGACGTGCGGTACCTCTGGTTCCGGGTAAGGCATTCCCCAGCCTCGCCCCCAGCACGTCCCGCCCCACCCCCCACCTCCTAAGTGCGACAGCAAATGTTACAATTCCCTGTGCTGCCAGCACATAGGAGAGTTGGACCCCAGCTCTCTCACAGAAAACAGTGGTCTGGCTCTCCAGCGGTCTGACAGCTCCCCTGAAGCCTGCTGCTATCAACAGTGCTGCTCAGGGAGCAAGAGAGCTGTTGATCAGCGTAGCGTTTGGGGGGTTGGTGGGGGACGTGTTGAACTACTAGAGAGCTGGGCCAGTGCTATGAGTGAGAGATCCATTCCTGTGTCTTGTACATAATGTACAATACAACGGAAAGAGTAGGAAATTTTCATCCATGTTTTCAATTCAGTCACTGTATGCATTGTTTTGTGACAACTGTGAATTTCCTCCTTTCTCTTAACTTTTTTTATGGCATTAAGCACAGATGAATCAAAATCATACACAGAAGTATAAAGTGAACACATATTTTTTAGTAGACTCCAGGCACAACATTACTCTTTTAAATTAAGTTCTCCCCTTTATAGCCCTTTGTTTGATCTGGGATTACAATTCTACAGTTGGCTGGAAGAATTTCAACTCTGTAGTGAAAGTGAATGTTTCTGGTAGCCTTAATGGGGAAGTATGCCTATTGCCTTATGTGATGCTGCATTGTTCTTAAAGGAGAACTATGACATGAGTGATTTCCACTCACCTCATAGTTCTAAGCCGACCTGTGACAATTAAACTGTCACAGGTTGGCTCAGTAGATCGGGAGGTGAGAGAACACATACCGGGTTCCCTCACCTCTCGATCCTGTCACGGCTCTCTGCCGTGACAGGGGGAGGGGCTGGATTCCCCTCTCCCCGCTCCGATCTGCCAGCGCTGACTGGCGGAACGGAGGGGGCGGGTACAGCTGGCTCTGCCTCTAGATAGGCAGAGCCAGCTGTCACTCACGCAGCTGGGCGGATCCCGTCATCTAAGTCGGGATCCGCTCCAGGTGCGGCGTCTCAGTATACCGCGAGCTGTAGCTCGCGGTATACTGAGCTTAGGGTAACGGGAGGACGCTAGTTTGTGTCCTCCCGTTACCCCAAGGAGAACTATGGGGAAAAACACTGACCCCATAGTTCTCCTTTAAGGAGAAACTTCACCCTTATCTTTAAAATTCCAACAAAGGCACCTGTTTAGTTAGAAATGTTAATCAATGGCAATCTACAGACAGATACTTCTAGATAATTGCAAGATTTTTATTCTTTGCATATCTTATTTTACCTTTCCTCCCCATTCTTCTCACAGTGGCCATTTTTTACTAAGGGTAGATTAGTCCATCTCCCTTTACTTCCTGGAACTCTGGCAGATGTGACTAGGACATGTGACCATGCACACCAAAATGCCTTTCCCTGAGATCTCACAAGATTTTGCCGTTTTCCAGCAATGCACTGTGATGTAACTGTCCCAGCATATTTTAGGTATGGGCTAATGCCTAAGAGGACCAGGAAGTGGAAAAAACAGTAATTATAAGGATAAACATATGTTTATTTAACTAATCATTGTAAGATGATTTGATATCAGCATACCGAGCTGAGTGCTGATGTTATTTTTAGTGAAAGGAGGTAAAGGTCCACTTTAACTGACAGAGCACACATCTACAATAAGAGAAATGACAGGAGACTGGGAGAGCACCCAAAGAATATTATTCAGCGGAAGAAGGCATAGCCTAACAGACATGGATGTAAACTGATTTGGTTTATTACCATTCCATTCTCATGTGTATCAAGTCTACAGTCTACAGCGGCAGATACACCTCTTATGATTTCATAGCTTATACAGTTACACAGTGTTTAGTAATTAGAAACTACATGGGGTAGCAGGAAATATTTGAAACAAGTTCTTTTATAATCACGAGTCCCTAAGCAGCTGGCTCTTGGGATAAGCTGAATGTTAATTTTATGCGTTACAATGATTTTCACATTTGCATTGCATTTGATGGCAGATAAGAATCTAATCGCCTGTTTGGGTTGCCAGTGTTTTCACAGCTGCTTTACAATTTAAAGCTTTCTATATCCATGTCCATAAAAATGTAATGTCTGTCTGCAGCATACTTCAAAATCACCATGTTGGACTCTTCTGAATGCATAATGCCATTTTACAGTAACTTGATATAAGAGAAGCAGACAGGTTTGATCTGACCTGTATGTAAATATCAATATAATATAATCAAACAACTGCATGTCATTTTCAAGGCTTTTACAGCTATGAGTATAACTATGGTCATGATGTCATTACAACTTGTCTTACAGGTTTGGTGGTCCATGGGGTTTAGAGGCATTCCTACTGACAGGAGAAACCAGCATGTTCATTTAAGTGGTAGGGATAAATCACCATCACTAACTGTAGGCAGTAAGTAATGAGTAGTAAGTTGTCCTTAGAGAGAATTGAGCGAACACGGATATAATTATTTAACCTTGCTTCTAGACTTCATTGGAAAAAATTAGGTCTACTGACTACTGACCAATTTCTTTTTTTTCCAAACATTTTTTTTATAGTGGAGTAAGAACAACAAAATACTTTGCCTAGAATATACAGCAAATTGAGTATCTACAAAATTATGATTGATTACTGTGAGAAAAATGGGACACAAATTATTCCTACAACAAAAGACATATAGTAAAGGATAAGAGGTAGAGAAAAGATCACTTCGGGATCTAAGACATGCGTGAGGAACATCGAGAAAGTCCTGGAAACAGTTACAGCTGAATTGGAGGGTCATTGGAGACTATCCTAGTGGTGTACCATGAGGGTAAAGCCAAGCACTGCATAAGCTTTTCTTTAAAGTTTGTATATGTATATTTGTATTTGTATATCCATTGGTGCACCCACCAGTCTCTTTAAATGGATAGCTGTTGTTTTAACTCCCAACTACAACCTCCATTCTTAAAATATATGCAAACCCCAACAATAAACCTTTCTTGTTGGCGCTCTGGTCTGTTAAAGCTGAAACCTAGGCTGCTTAGATTTTGCCTTCCCTGTTTCCTTCCTTCTCCCTTTAGCAACATGCTAATTAATTTTTTAAATACAATCTACTAGTGCTTCTCTGTGCAATGCAGGTAGATCATGACTGATGAAAGGGACCGGCAGGGTGTTTTGGCAGGATGCCTGAAAACATCACAGCACCATAGCTCAGTACTGCTCTCAAGAGCACCCAGCCTTGATTCAGTGGGCTGGCTCTTGGGAGGAGTTATGCAAATATCAAAATGGGTGGATTTCAGTCTTGAAAAGTGGGCATTCCTACAAAGGCTGCATTTGCATTTGAGTAAGCAATTTCAGTCCAGGAGAGTAGCCTGTACAACTGTGCCACTGCAGAGGTACCGTGTTTCCCTGAAAGTAAGACCTAGCGCTTTCTTCAGGGATTTCTGTGATATAAGACCTCCCCCAAAAATAAGACCAAGTTCGGTGGTAGGTCTTATCCCTGAAGATAGCGCTAGGTCTTACTTTCGGGGTAGCTACACATGTAACTGATTTTTAAATGTAAAGACTGGCCGCAGCTCCTGCCCCGCCCGCCAGCCGCAGCTCCCGCCTACACGCCCGACGGCAGCAGCTCCCGCCCTGCCCACATGCCAGCCAGCCGCACATGCCAGCCCGCCCAC